CAATTGCAATACTGTTGATATAGCTTCACTTGTACTCTTAAAATTCTGAAAGCCATACTGATGAGTACTCAATATCCCATTACTGGTCAAAAATTCCATTATTCTTGGAGCTTTCATGTGGTGACATGAAAATCAGCTGATGCGTCGATGGAATCGCCTTCTGCTTGCTACAGTCACGCATCTCACTCATCCCATCCCCCTGGTTCATACATTCATACATCGTACTGTCACTGACCCGGATTGACCGTGAATTTTTAATCTCACACTAATGAATCATTTGTGTCTGTTGTACTTTTTTAAAAGCAAAATAATTTCCACGAAGCCATTTTTTTATTATTATGAAGAACTGTATTTAAATTGAAACTTTTACTCCCTTAAAAATTTGCCGGCACCTGCTACATTCGCTGGGAGACAAAGTCATGGAACTGGACTACACAAGTGTCGCCCAGTTTATATGTTATTTTATGCACTGGATAGAAGACAGAGATAGATAAATAACTATTGTAATGAAGAATATTACATCTCATTCATGTTCCTAAAATTATTTAAACTGAATTGAAAACTAGAATTTTATGAAACAGAGAAATGACAGAAGAAGCATGACTTTGAAACTTGATTTAAAGCAAAATAACATAATTCTTATATATGCGATTAACTCATGTTGATTGAATACATTACATGGTGCATTCGAAAAAGTGGATAATTGAAAGGAAACGGTATACAACTCTGATAACTGTTAACTTTGATTGATTGATTGATAATATGTTTATTGTTCAATAATAAATTCTTGTTACAAACACAATGTCATAAATAAATATCAATATAAACATGAAGTATAAGATGTGAAGTATAAGTGTATAAAATATAAATGTTTAAAACAATTACAGTTTCATCACATTCTGAATTACAGGGCATCGTCAAAATATTCTTGTAGGTCATAATAGGCTTTATCACTTAATAGTTTTGTACATTTCTTTCTAAATATGATGAAGGGAGTCTCTTTGATTTCATTGGGAAGTTTATTGTATATTCTGATTCCATTATATATCAACGAGTTTTGAACCAAACATGTTTTTGGAATTGGTAGACTCAGTTCATTTGACTGCCTTGTGTGGTATGTGGCTGTAGCTGTAATTCTATGTTCTCGAAAAAAGGGTTTACATGAATCCCGCCATTTCGCTTTACATAAGTACCTGATAGCCCTTTTCTGCAAGACAAAAACCGACTGCATAAGTTGTTTACTGCAAACACCCCAAAAGGGTATACCATACCTTAGATGAGAGTCTATTAAGGCATAATACACTACTTTCGCTGCAGCAAACCCCAGTTCCTTTGAGATGTTTCTCAGTGCGAAACATCCTGACGCCAATTTTTTGTTGATGTGTGCAATAAGCAGAGAATTTTAAATTTTCATCTAAATAAATTCCTAAAAATTTCAAAATGGAGTTATTTTTTATTGTGTTATTGTATAGGGGGATAGCAGGTATATTACACTTGAATGCTAATATATTCATTTGTTCAGTCAATTACCAAAATTTGGATGATTTTGAATACTCACTTGAAAAGTTATCAAAGAAAAACATTTTTCATTTTGTAACTTCGAGGGTCATGCCACACTAATGTGGTGTTGTCAGCAAATAAGGTAAAGCTTCCTGTAATCGATATGTTGGTCAAATCATTAATGTATAACAGAAACAGTAAAGGACCTAACACAGAGCCTTGAGGTTCTCAACAATTTATCTCTCCCACGTCCGAGTTAGATGACGTTCTTACAATTTTTTTTCTGTCAGAAAGGTATGAACTAATCCAAATATGATTGTTGTCCCTAAAACCATATCTTATGAGTTTCCGAAGCAATATGCTGTGATTGACACAGTCAAAAGCTTTGGATAAGTCACAAAGCACTGCTGCAGTGGCTTTCCCACTGTTGATTTCATTATACACCAATTGCAATACTTTTGATATAGCTTCACTTGTACTCTTAAACTTCTGAAAGCCATACTCAATATCCCATTACTGGTCAAAAATTCCATTATTCTTTTTTTACCAGTTTTTCAATTATTTTTGCTAAGGTTGGGATGAGCGATATAGGCCTAAAGTTTGCTGGATCTTCATTGTTGCCGCCTTTATGGAGAGGAATGACAACTGAGGTTTTGAGAATTGAAGGAAATGTTCCTTGCTCGAAGGAGTTGTTAATCAGTTCAACAAGTATTTTGAGCGCAGTCTCAGGAAGCCTTTCGAGAATTTTAATAGAAATTTCATCAAAGCCAGATGCTTTCTTATTTTTTATGTTTCCTATCACTTCTTTCAATTCATTAATACTGATGTGGTGTAACGAAAAGGTACTGTCTACATAGATATCACTGATATATTCTAGGGGATCGTGAGTAGGTACAATGTTTTGACAGATATGAAAATTCCTCCAATGTCAACAACAGGCAATTTTTTTTGTTTCCAAAACATAAGCACTACAGAAAAATTCTTAAGGCCCTCTTAGAGCAGTGCCTGTGGGAAAGTACCAATTCACGGATTTGAATCGCTAAGATTAAATTCATTTGGAAACACGTTCTCAGGAAGTTTATTCCACATAAACGCAGTTCTTCAAATGAAAGAGTTCTTGACCAGTGAAGTTTTAGGTGTACTGAGTTGAACCTCAAAACGATGACCAGCCACAGTCCGTCGCGTATTTCTGATATGTACCACTCTTGGTAGAATCAAATGTGGCAAATCACTTGAACACCTCCCGTGAAAGTATCTATAAAAGAGAGATAAATCTCGAACCTTTCTTCGATGTTCCAGACTATCAAGGTTGCAAGTGATGTTCGTGTCTCCAATCAGGCGGATGGCTCTTTTCTGGATGGAATCCAGCAGTTTCAGGGTATGCTTAGGGGCGGAGATCCATACATGAGAACAATACTCCAAAGAGTAGTTCGAAGCTATTCTGTCAGGTGGACCCTTTCTGGTAGACAACCTCCTCGAAATGTAACTCCAAACATGCTCTATCGGATTCATGTCTGGTAAGTTCAGTGGTCAATCCATCTTTGCAATTCCTTTTTCCTCCAAAGCAGTTCGCACAGCCAGTTTTTGATGTGAGGCATTATCATCCATAAATACAAAATCATTACCTATGGCGCCACGAAACAGTCGAACCACATTCAAAATGAAATTTTGAAGGTACAATTGTCCCGTCGTTATTCTAGGTGCAATTATCAGTGGTGTTTGTGTTCCATAGATGATACCACCCCATATCATAATGCTTCCACGTTGATTTGGATTGATATCTCAAATATTTTTGTAATTTTTTAAGGTCAATAAATATCTTATCTCATACAACGCCAAATGCAGTTGATGCTGATGCATAAGCCCAAAACGACTTTCACTGAAAAACACTGATATTGGTCAGTGCAAACGTCTTCGTCTATGTGCGGCATTTATTTTCGGTGCCCTCAAAACGCGCCTACATAATAAACCACGTTCTTTGGAAATGTCTTCCATAGCCTCGTGATGTTTCAAAGGGGTTATTGTGTGGATACTGCAACAGGTATCGATCCTGACATTGTGTTGTCCGTCCCTGAACATAACTACGTTTTTTGAACCTCGAGATTACCCTAGAAACCGTGCTCTGGATAAAACCTAGTTCTCTCCTTATATGTCATAAGGTCCACCCTTGCTCATGCAAAGTTACAATTCTCAAACGATCTTCAGATAAACGTGCACCAGGCATTACATACACATGAATAACTGCCACTATATTATCAGTCGCGAGTTGAAAATTCACTGATTTCAATTTCTTCATTTAAAAATTTGAATAAAACCGCGGAAATATTTTTTGCGGTCTATCCTTTTTACTGATTTTTTGTGATAACCTATGGGAGATTACATCAGGTTAGGTCCAAAGTGAGTGGGTCTATTCGACCCTCCACCGCAACCCGCAAGAGTTTATTGTGGCTCACACCTATTCACACTCGACCAAATAAAACCAGCTTCTCAACGAAGCCGATTAGTTTGTATGGTGAGTGGTCTTTCAGGTCAGATGGTAAGAGTACGGTTCTGCCGAACTCTGAAAGCTTGATTCTGGCCCCAGCGGGGCAGGCACAAAGTATGTGCTCTGCTGTTTCATCATTTTCCAGACAGAGGCGACACACACGGTCTTCCGACAGTTCGAGTCTCTGCATATGATGATTCAAACGATAGCGACCTGTAAGAAGGCCTGTTAGACGTCGTAGTTCATCCTTACTATAGTCCAACAACTGTTTGGTATCAAGGCTTCGAAGGGTGAATAAACGCCTTGGGTGAGCCAATCCTGAAAGATTTTGCCAGAAGTCCATCCAGGTGTTCAATCTTTGATTGGCAAAGCCTAAAGCGATTCCAATGACAGGTTCTGATCCGATGAAGCTGCTTGCAGCACCCTCCTTTGCAAGGGAGTCAGCAGCCTCATTGCATTCTAGACCAATATGGCCAGAAATCCAGACCAAAGACAATCTGTTAAGTTTTCCTATCGAGGAGAGTAGTTTTTGGCAATTTACTACCAATTTAGACGTTGCTTGGTAGGAGCCAAGAGCTTCCAACGCCGCTTGACTGTCCGAGAATATTTTTATTGACTTGTGTATGAGGTTGGATTCTTCCAACCATATATATATCATAGAAAATTTCCTGCATATGCAATTGGCAATACAACTGAAAGAGTCGACCTTCAATTTTGGAATGGGCACATATAAGTCAGAAAAGAAATATGAATTTATGATTATTAATACAATTGGTTCTGACACAAATTTCAATTGGTCTATGAAACTGAACATCAAAAATAAAATTACTAAAATTTCAAAATTAATTAAGTTAAGTGTTAAGTGAACATAATTTCCAAACAACACTTTCAACAATGAGAGTTTACTATCATATATTGTATAATGGGTAGTTGTTAAATTCAGGTAGATATTGTTCAAAAATAATGAAAATTTTAAATTTTTCATTCTTGAATAATACTGAAACTTGTTATGATTACATGATAAATGAATATGAAGGGATTGGCCCGTTACCTGATGAAAATTATTAACATTATCCATTATAATAACTACACAATTTTCACAAAGGTATTTCGCTCCTAGGAAGCTTCCGAGGAAGCTACGGTGTTAGCGAAACGCGTCTAGAAATTAAAATGTTTGTGAAAATTGTGAAATTATTATCATGGATAGAATATGAGAATTTATTTGAAGGTATGGGCAGAATTGGTAAACCATATCATACTGAAATTAATGAACATGCTGTGCCTAAAACAAACTGTCAGAAAGATACCATTTGTAATATCAAGTAAAGTTAAAACTTTGTTAAATTTACAAAAATCTGAAATGTTAACTAAGGTAGACGAACCTTCAGAGTGGGCCAATCCTATGGTTATAGTTAATAAAAAATACAGTCTCTTCAGGATTTCTTTGAATCCTCAAAATTTTAATTCGGTAATTAAAAGACACTCCATTAAATTTCCTACAATTGATGAAATTAAATAATTTGCTAGTTATCTTGGCACTAGTAGTTTCTGATATATTCCAATCGGTGGATGTAGTAGTAAATTATGACTATTGGAATGATAAATGGTGGATTTAAGTTTCTAAGGTTACTGTTATGTATTAAAAGAGAAATATTTCAGGCCTCTTTTGGAAACATTTTCAATATTATTATTATATATTTAGAAAATCTAGTGGGCATGTGTAGAAAAATCAAATTTTTTGTATAATACTCACAATAAATTATCGCATACCATTGCCATATCTATCAGTTCAGTATGGTAGAAAATCTTTCCCTGGTATTTAATGAATGGTCTTAATACTGCCCTTTTTATCTTTGAAGCAGCTTCTGTTTCCAATTTGTCTTTCTCAAGTTTCAGTTTTTTCTGAAATAAAAAATGGGTTTGTCTGAAAACTCCTCTCTTCATGGTCCTTTCATTACTACATACATGGATGAGTGAAAGAAACAACCCTAATTATAATTCCAAAAATGCCAATTCTATTTATTCCTCAAGACTAAGACGAAGGTGTGTCATGATATTTTAAGAAGAGAATATTATCAATTACGAAATTGTCAAAAATATCCTGAAAATTTATTTACTGAATTGAAGATATCGCAAAAACTAATACTTGCAAAATATAAATGAAACAAAACTAGCGTTTTGAGATATTAACATAAGCATTTCTAAAAATAACTTAAGATCAATTTGTTCCAACAATTTCAAAATTTTCAACGAACACCTACTAGAGCAGCGTTTCCCAAACTATTATGCCTTGGGACCCACCTTCATTGTGGATTTTTTTTCGCGACCCACATATTAAATAATATTAAGTATAATTATTATTACTAATATTTTTATTATTATCGTGAAAATTCACTATTGAGGAATACACCTCTGAAAGAAAATGGTAAAGATGATATATTTGAAGATAAAATACAGTAAGAAGACTTTAAATTCAGAATCTTAAAACAAATACAAAAAATGAAAAAATGAGACTTATGTAATTAATGTGACTTATGAAGCTGGTGCTTACGATTCACAAGAGATTCTATATTGCTGTTGAAAGTTGAAATCCACACAAAGCGTATTTCTATACTTATTTTTTAAATATACTAACGAGGAGAATGACCTCTCACACAAATATGTGGTTGAAAACCCCATCAGTTCTTTTAAGGCTATGTTCTGAAGAACTAGATTCTCTCCCCTAGCCTTTATCCAAAATGGGAAAAACAATTCAAAAGTATTACGTGTTTTGAATCTGTTTCCTCAACCCACCCAAATTGCTCCCGCGACCCATAGTTTAAGAACCACTGTACTAGAGACATTCAAAACAAATTTTCGGTAACAGACCACGTTTTGACTAATTCAAAAAAAAGGTGTAAAACTTTAATAACAGATCATAAAATGAGTTATCACAAATAAATCTAAACAAATAATTCTAAAGAAAAAACTAGATTATAAAACCCTGTTAAGATAGCAGAAAAACTTTGAATTTTTATATCTATTTATAGGTCATAATATTAGGCTAATTTTGTACTCTATTCCAGGACTTTTTACTCTTCATTTAACATGAAAAAAATCATTTTGTTGAATCAGGCTACGTCACTATTGCCCACTAACGCTGATTTTCGGTGTTATTTGAATGAATGGGTTCTGCTAGCTTCATCGTTGAGGTGGCAGAACCAAATCTCAATGCTTCTGATTTTGGAAACTTTGAACTTACAATAATTTTAGGCTCCTTCATTACGATATTGACATTTTTTGCTCCCTGAATGAATTAAAGTTTGGGTGATTACCTCAAACACACAAATGGTGAAATAATATCTTGAAAACATTCATCAACTATGGGTGAGATCAAAATATAGTGAAGTTGTAAGTTCATTTTTGGCTTCTATGACCCTCCATTTTTCAAAAATAGTGGATTCTGCTAGCTTTGTCGTTAAGCTGGCAGAATTAAATCTAAATCCTTCACTTTTTGGAAATCTTGATGTTACAATAATTTTAGACTCATTTTAGACTTCTTCATTAGGCTATTGAACAACTTTTTGCTCTTCGATTGAATTGAATTTTTGGATGTCTACCTTAGGCACACGTAGTAGAAGCGGAAATAATATTTTGGAAAAATTCTTGTTACCCCCCATCGATTTTCCATGTGTTGTTTTTTTTTAAATCGGTGGGATCTGCTAGCTTTACCGTTAAGCTGGCAGAACCAAATGGAAATCCTTCATTTTTTATAAATTTTCATCTTGCATTAATTAAGTCTCATTTGGACTCCTTCCTTACACTATTGAATAATTTTTACCCTTACTTTTTTCAAATATTGACCAAATAATATTAGACTCCTTCATTATGCTATTGAACAATTTGTTACGCCTCTTTTGAATTGAATATTTGGGTGATCAACTCAGACACACATTGTAGTTGAGGAAATGATTATTTGAAAACGTTTACGTTTGAAAAAATATGTTTTTCCATTAACCAGCAGTTCTCATGATATCCTTAATGTAAAAAAACGCCCTGGAAATCATTAGATTCATGAACGTCTCTATATTTTAGGCCTTAGGGATTTTCCTGTAGTGCTTGTGTTCTGCCTTCAAAAAAAAGACTTCCACAAAACTTTACCACTTAATTAACGACGCAATTTTAAACGACTTTCATATGACTAAAACAAAGGTATTTTCTACAAAAGACTGGGTAACTCCCGCCAAATATTGTTTACATCTAACTATCTCACCGTTTGATCAGCCTTTTCCTCTGGAGTTAATCGACGGCGGAGTATTCTACTAGTTGATATTTCCATGATTGTTTTAATTAGTGAAATCTAAATATTAATTTGATTTTCAACATTCCTCATGAGAACCAATACATAGTTTGATATTTAAATTTGAATACTGTTACTCTTCTCCTCGTTCCGTTCGAACTTTCTACTGTCAAATGTCAACCATTATTCTTTTTAATTCCGTTAAATAATTGTGAAGCAGAACATGTAGCAAAGGAGGTGTTATTCAGGATTGGAATTGTTCGGAGTTACCCTAAATTTCGTCACTTCAGTACGAAAATCAAATGTATTTATTGACGACCACAAAAGTCAAGATTAATTTACGAAAAAAAAAAGAGCATCTAAAATAGAGGAAGGGAAAAAAAATGTAGAGTCAGTGAAAAGTTCTATTGGTATATATTGCCGAAAAAACGAAAAAAGGCAAACCAATATCACTATATGGTCGTATTATTCGATGCTAAAGTTTAATATAATATAGTAAGCAATATTTTCATATCCAATCAGTGAAGAAGAAATTATTCAGGCAAGCAGAAAACTTAAAAACAAACTAAGTAGCGGTACTGATAGTTTTCCACCTAAATTATTGAAAGTGTGCTCATTCACTTTCCACCGTACTGTCATATTTTTAATACTTGTTTAGAGACAGGAATATTTCCAGATCAAATGAAGATGGCAATAGTGTTACCACTTTATAAAAAGGGAGGATAGAACGATATTGATAATTATAGGCCAATCAGTTTGTTGACAGCTTTTTCTAAGTTATTCGAAGTGGTCATATCTACTAGTGTTATTAATTTCTTCAATGCCTATAATTTGTTCAATGATTTCCAACACGGTTTTCTCAAAGGAAAAAATACAGAAACAGCATTGTTTGATTTCATAGATGAAATTCATTCTTTACTAGAACAAGACTCTATGGCTTGTGGTGTTTTTCTGGACCTGAGTAAAGCTTTTGACTGTGTGGACCATTCTGTTTTATTACCAAAGTTGTGTCATCATGGTATTAGGGGTAAAGCTTTAGATCTCATGATATCGTATCTTAGCAACAGAAAACAAAAAGTTTGCATTAAACATCAAACAGAAGTTTTTTACTCTGACATAACTGATATTCATAAAGGTATCCCACAAGGAAGTGTGCTAGATCCTTTGTTGTTTATCATTTATATAAACGATTTTTCGGAAATTTTTAAAAATACCAGTACCAAACTTGTCAGTTATGCTGATGATTCCAATCTTGTTATACCTCTTGACTGCCATATGAATTTGGAAAGTGATGTATTGAATGTTGTTTCTACATCCTCAAATATTTCATTCAAAATGAACTTCTTTTGAATACAGCCAAAACTAATTGTATAGTTTTCAGAACAGTTAATACTTCCATCATTATTCCAGAGTATGTAAACATGGGCCCTGAAAAGTTGAATTTTTCATCATGTACAAAAATGTTAGGGGTCTATCTAGATGACAAATTATACTTTGACGTACATATTGAGCATCTTGCAAAAAAACTGGCTAGCAAATGTTATGCAATTAGAATTTTGAGAAGTCACTTGAATACTGCTGCACTAAAAACAGCATACTATGGAACCGTATATCCTTTCTTCAAATATGGAGTTATGTTCTGGGGTGCAAGCACTAACTTGGAACGCATTTTCATTATGCAAAAACTTATAATAAAGAATATGCTTAACATGAACTTAACAGACTCCTGTCGCGGAATTTTTAAAAGTAATAAATTACTTACTTTATATGGGATCTATATTTATGTTTGTTATTTTCGTTTATGACAACAAAGATAAATTCATTATTCATAAAAACATTCACGAGTACTATACTAGGAACAATTCGAACCTCGTTCTTCCTAAACATAGACTAAGAAATACAGAAAGAGGTCCACGCTGTATGGCCATCAAACTATATAATAATTTACCACTGACCATCAGAGAAGAAGGCAGACGGCATACTTTCAAAATTCTAGTTTTCGATTTGTTGTGTAGCATGGAACCCTATTCGATGCAAGAATTTTTATGGCAACTTCATGACGATTGCAGAAAACAGAAGAAAGATAGATATTAGTATTAGCCATCAAAATTTTTATAATCCTAACAAATATAGACATGATATATGCGAGAGTATATTTTCATTTTCATTATATTTTGATATCTATATATTTTAGACTAATGCGTTTATATATGTGACACTTATCTTATTTTTTTTTAATATTGAGTTATACTAAAATGTACTCCCACGAATGTATAAACCTGTGATAATCTTTTGTTATATTTTGTTGTATTTTAGTTATATATTTATACCTTACTGACTTTAAGTTTTCATATGTTCAATTTGAAAACTTCAATAGAACCTATCTATCTATTAAGTTTTAAAGTATAATGTTATTTTTAATGAAATATCAAAATGAAAATCATCAACGAATATCAAAAATTATTATGTTCCTGCAATAACCGGTGGATATTTCAAGAAGTCCAAGGATAACAGATAGTAGATTCTTTAAAAATAACTGCAAATGAGTATTTGCTGATGAAGGAAATTTTCAGAATCATCCACTATGCGTCGCCTAATTTTGTGTCGATAATTTTAGGTATAGTGGTAGTGATGGCAGTATGTCCATGTATAAGTGAGAGATAACAGAACTTAGATAATTACATTACAAAATGATGAGTCACTACCCACTCATAGGTTAAAGCTACATATATTACAAGAAGTTAATGTAGATCATTTTATTGATAAAATCATTTCATATAAAAGAATCCCCCGATGATGCAATAATTTTCTCCAGTGCTTTTGCAATACGAGCTTTTGACCGGGATGATCTTTCTTTGGCCTTTGCTATCCTATTCAAGCAAGACAATTTCTTTTCGTAATAAGATACTGTGGTCTTCTTTTTTTCCTCATCAGGATTTTGCAGATCTTCCATTTTGTGGACGTGAGGCAGATTTTCTATTTTGTGGACGTGAGGTAGACCTTCTATTTTGTGAACGTGAGGTAGATCTTCTATTTTGTGGACGTGAGGCAAATCTTCTATTTTGTGGACGTGAGGTAGACCGTCTATTTTCTGGACGTCAGTATCACCGACAATAATGATTTCATTATCATAAGCTGAAGAGCAATCGGCCCTCACTTCTTGATTACTATTAGGATCATCTTGTTCTTCATCACTTGATATTACGTATAGGATAATAGTTTCCGGATCATTTTCATTTGGACTGATTTCTTGTTTATGATCATTATTATCCAACTTGGTGATTTCATTAATATCGATGCTATTGTCATCTTCTTCTGAATCTGAGATTTCCTCATTTATTAAAGGCTGGTCATTTCCATTAAAACCATTAGATATTCTGAAAATTAACTTTTCTTCTTTAGACTGTAATTCCTCATGGTTCGTGTATTTCATTTTGACTTTGGATTTCATATCCTGCCAAGTCTGAAAATGAAAAAAAGACCTGACTCAGAAATATATTGATAAAACTCCAAAATACAAATCAAGAAATTATAAAACAAAAACATTATGTAACAACAAAAATTAATTGGCGCTCCGGGGCGACTTCATTGATCCCAGTGACGCATTTGTTTTTTCAGCTGCAGGAAACCCCGGAAAAACCTGCAGCACCACATCATCCGAAGATTGTTAGTGTATGTAAATAAAATAGGAGATGCTAGAAGTAGAAGCAGCTTCACACATTCCAAAAATGATAAAATCGGAGTAATAAGAAATGTTACATTTAAATCTGGTGAACACGTTACATCTTCGTGAGGTTGCATACCGTGTGAAAAAAAAACACAAAATAATTGCAATATTCATTCACCTTTCAACATAAGTTTGTTCTAAAAATTGAAAGATACTGAAATTATATTTAGAGTACATATTTGAATGACATCAATGCACTTGTCATATAATTTACAATGAAAAGTTACCACAGAATAAAAACAAGTTTTTTGAGAACAGTGTCATCAGCATATTAGTTGAATGTTAATAATAATTCTGTTTGAAAACATCAACAATTAAAATTTCATTTCCTCATTTCTATATAAATGAGTAGGTGTTTTTGCAATTTGTGCATATCAAAAAAGCATGAAAGTTGACGGAAGTTTCATATAAACGATATATCGAAAGAAATAGAGGTACCTTAACAGTAACATAAATGGGGGTGCCCAAGGCAGCTGCCCCCCCAAATGATTAAAAGTTTCTATCCCTGTGAGGTTTTAAATCCATAGATGTATGACTACATCAAAATTCATGCAGAATAAATTGATGAATTCCATCCTCAAACAGGAATGTGAATGACCAATATTCGGTTATAAAACAAAAACAATGCGAATATTATATACTGTGTCCAATATAAAGATGGCCAGCACGGGAAAATCGAAAATCATGATAGATAAATTACCCGGGATAAGATTTCGAAGTCGTAAAATTCGAAATCTCATCACAATAGTCGACTGATTCTGATGTTGGACACTATCACGAAAGATGTCATTCGAAAATATTTCAGTTACTAGTACCTAGGTTATAGTGTTACGCTCTAATTGCTACACACACCGATTTTATAATGGTCGTCCAAATTCCAATAGTGAACCACATGTGGGAACGGGACCAGGCACACACACCGACCGGTGATGAACGTCGATCACCGGTCGGCGGCAGACGCAGTCAAAAATCGGTGTGTGTGCAATTAGCCTTATACATACAGAATACATACCTTTCTCCACTGCTTCCAGTTTTTAATACTGCCTGGTAAACGGTTGAGGGCACTCGCGAGTGCTCGCCACTCCATTTGAGCATCTTTAATTGTAAATAAGGAAGAAAATTTAGGATTCGTCAATTTTGGATTATTCTGGAGATATTCGAATAGATACTCCTTCTGTACCTTCGAAACATGTGGTCGACTAGAAAGCACGTTCATTATCAAATAATTTGAATGCTAATATAACGTATGCGAAAACAACTTGATTTCTGGTAAATTTGATATCTCCTGCTCTTCTGAACACCTCACATGAAACTAACACTATGCACTCTGTAAGAAGGGTTAAATACAGATTCTACAGGTAGTTGACGAGCGAGTACCTGAAGAACGG